CTTTCATGACCTCAGGACATTCCAAAGCACTTTACAGCCAATGAAGTATTTTGGCGGTAATCAGTTGGTAATACAGAACTTGAAAAAAATACATTTTGTTTATCCTTTTCATCTTGCACTTATTGGGTCAATTTGCAAGAAGTAAAGGGAAAAGCTGTATGCAAAGAAAGTGCTGATTCATTTGGAAGTGGAACCACATCAATATTTAGGAACAGGTACAGCAAATGGTTGAAGTAAAGATGAATAAAGCAATTACAGTGGACTCTGAGGTGTTTCCACAGGGAAAACACCAGGACTCACTTCTTATACACTATAATAGTTGTTCCTTTTACATTGGTATTTGATGTGAATTGTCCTGATAAGTGCAAGTTGAAAAACTGTAGCAAAATATGCCTTTTCTCAGCAGTATTCATATTTTGGAAGTGTAGTCACTATTGCAATGTCAGGAAATACAGCAGTCAATTTAGGCACAGCAAGCTGCTACAGTTAACAAAGCAATAGCGATAAACATTCACTCCCTCCACCAGTGATGGGAAGTAGCAGCTGTGCACATCATCTACAAGATCCCCTGCATAAATTCACCAAGGCTCTTTAGAAACCAAGGCTTCCACAAATACTACCATCTAGAAGGATAAGGGCAGCAGATTCATGGGAACACCACCACCTGCAAGTTGCCCTCCAAGCCATGGTTCAAGAAGGCAGCTCACCAGCACCTTGTCAAGGGCAGCTATGAGTGGGCAATAAACACTGGCCAGCCAGCGGCAGCTCCATTCTATGAATGAATACAAAAAAAACCCAGGTAATTTATTCAGTGCAAGTTCTTCCTTTCTTTAATGATTATTTAAAGTCTCTATTGATGGTATAACTAAAGCAACACAGGCCCTTGTTTCCAACTGCTGCATCAAACACACAGAGTTCAAAATGTGCAACCAGAATTAATGACTGAACAGGCAACCACGTCAATATTTAGGAATTAGTTAAGCAGGTGGTCGAAGTAAGGATGAATAAAGCATTTACTGGAACAGAGTGGGCACATGGGATTAGGACTCATGGCCATGCAGAGGGTAAAATCTTTACACAAAAACGGTGGGTTAGAGTGAGCGACAACTGTTTGCCTTTATTCACTGTCTTTAATGGATTCTAAGGCATGTCTCAGAAACTGATACTGCAATAACAAGTAGATAGTAGCAAGGGGAAGAGGTAGGTTTTCATCAGACTGATGTTCTATGTCATTAGCCAACTGCTGGAAAAGCTTCACATTCTACTTCAATATTTGAAGGCGAGACCAAAACCTCTCCAAAGTAACGCCACTGATTATATCTACAAAACAAATTATCTACAAAAAATATCACAAGGTAGTGCATAGGAGTCCTGTCAGTCAAAATCTCACACTGAGCTGGAGAACAGATGGCCGAAAGCTTGGTCAAGGGGGTGCATTTTAGGACAAGTCTTAAAAGGACAGAGAAAGGCACACACACACAATCACCATTGACCCCCCCGCAAGACGGGAGCAGATTAGTTGAGTTGCATGTCCTGTATCCATATTGTAATTTCCACGTCATTTTCATTGTGATTGTGTTGAAGGTCAAAAGGCATGGAATTATCACAGCGAACCTCAAACTGCTGAAGACTGGCAGAAATCCAAGAATCATCCCAATTGAAATAAAATGCACCTTTTAATCTGTAAAGACATGTCACAGCACAGGAGTTGGCATTGGTGCAGTTGGCATTTTGTGTTTTATCATTAGGAGAATAAAAATGTCTCGTGAATTTAATTTGTCATACCAACTTGCAGAGAAATCATGTAACTACACATATGGCATGATAGTAAAATAACAGTGGGACACATAGATGCTCTACAATACTTTGGCATGATTTTGGAGTATCGTGGAAATTTACAGCAATGGAAGGAGAGCATTTGGCCCAACGCATCTTTGCCAGCCAAATTAAAGCTATCAGGTCGAATCCTGTTTTCCAGCTCTAGGTCCTCTACATTAATGTTAATTCAAACACAGATCCAAGTAATTTTTAAACTTTAGGAGCTTTTATGTCTTCAGTTTCAAACCTTTATGGACCCTCTCATCACTCTTCTAAATATTTTGTCCCATCCTCTCCTAAAAACACTGCTTTGTGTTTCTGGCTGCAAAGTAAGTGACTACACTCTCAGCCAAGAAACCAATCAGTCAGTACCTTGTATTATCATGGGAGGTGGGGACAGAACATTGGACTTAGCCAGGATCTGTACTTCCATTAGCGTTGCACAGACCAGACAGAGTTCCCAATTTAATAAAGAAAAATTCTAATTATGTAGATTATACTGGCAAAGTCACCATTTTATTGCCCATTTTTATAAACTATTTGCTATACTACTTCAGAAGGCAATTAAGAGTCAACTGCCTCAGGGCTGAATTACACAAGGCTCTGGGTTCCCCACCTCTTTGACTAAAAGCATAGGGATGGGGAAGTCCGCCAAGCTCTGCAACCATCTGATGAGTTGAATGCTCCCCTTGTACATGAAGAAGTCCTGCCTCAGAGAGATCCAGGCCAATAAGAAATTGGCAGCATTCCAGTACTGTACCAGCAGCACCACGAGGAGCAGTGGCCATTACTGGTATTGCACTTGGGGCTTAGACAATTGTTCCAGATTTAGCTGTCCAAGTGAGAAGAATTGGTAAGCCCTAGTGAGGTATGTTGGGGAGTTGGGGTGTTGTCAGAATTTTGAAGGCTGGTGATAAGCAAGGCATTACATATGATCCTCTAATGGGACCATGGGCTAATTTAGAAGAGACAGTCACCATCTCCCACCCCACCCTCAAACTCAGCCCCAACACAGCTACCTGCTGGGTATTTGGCATTAGGCCTCTCCAGCCATTTAAATCCCAATGATACCGCGCCCCCCCCACCTCAATTTATTGTCTAATAACAACAACATGTATGCATCTTGCATTGGTAAAAGTAAAATGTCCCACAATATTTCACAGGAGGAATGATCTAATCAAACTTGACACTGAGCCACCTCAGGCAATATCAATACAGGTAACCACTCTGGTATTTTATAACCAATAGTTTAAAGGAGGACATGGGGCGGGGGGTGGGGGGGGGGACGCGGTGGTGGCGGGTAAAGGTTTATGAAAGAAATTCCAGAGCTTAAGGCATTGTCAGCTGAAGGCATGGCCACCAATTATGGAGCACCAATAGACAAGAAGACAGACTTTGTGAAGCATGGAGATTTTCATTAGCCATCTCAAGGAAAATAGCATCATCATCACAGATGTGATCATTATTGGTAAGCATTGATACAGTGTGCATTCAGTCAGTGAACCTAGAGAACTAATAGAGAGAAATCCAACAAATGCACAGGCCACGCATTCAAAATCTAAACTCAACAGGGGTCATGAGGAGGTCAAAGGGAGAGTCAATCCACAAAGGTTCTCAACACCAGAGAATACACCAGAAAATTACAAATCAAAGTACTGTGTGTGAGCTTGCTGTGACATGATAAATCAGTAATAAACTATTTTTAAAGGGACATGGTGTCTTCTCCTGAAAGACTTCCACTGCGTCCAACAATTGGATTCTTGTGGAACACAACCACAGCAGCTCTTCATAACTGGACAGCAGAGCAGCACATCTCCAGACTCTGACAGAATCTCATCCTGGCAAATAATGCTTCTAATTTATTCCATCATTCTTAATCACAATATGCTTTACTCATGCAGAAGCAAGTCACATCAAAATACTTTAACATTTTCCCATGATTTACTCACACTCTGTACCCTTCAAATCATTATTCCTTTACTTTTAACAAAATATCTGGAGTGAAGCTTTGGGAAATATAGAACTGAATAAGATTCCCCCTCCAACAATGTGGTGTACATCATCAAGTTTCCAGTTAAGTGATACATAAATGTTTCAGAAATCCTCACTGTGCCTTGTTTGAAAGGGTTGCCCTTTCATCCTACTTGCAGCCAAGATAGCTGGGAGAGACATCACTCCTGTATGTCAGACAATCTTTCCGAAAATACTGTTATTACTACATCATAGAGTTTGCCAGCTCAAGGTCTCCCCCGTTTCATCCTGGTTAATTTTAGAATTGAAATCTATCATTTAAAGCGTCTCCCAGCAAAAACTGCTTCTAATTACCAGATCTGCAGCATCTATCGCTTTGTAATCAACAGGCACTTGTCAGCCCATCAATCAAGGGGTTAAATTTAAAATAGCCCCGGTCGTTTGGGGCGTGCGAGCCAGTGAGCATCCGGCAGTAAGAGAACAGCGTGAGAGGGCTGCAAGCTAACGGGGTCTGAATCATGCTGTCAAACCACTGCCCGGGTGTGGAGTCACTGCATTTGTCACATCCAATTCCCCCCTCACGTCTCTAGCCTCTCCTTCCAACACAGCAACTACAACCTGCACAGAGTGGGTCAAGCAAGATCTCCAGTTTGCACTTCCTCAGGAGCGAGACTCTGAGCTATTACCTTCTTGACAGTTTTCCACGAGAATGAGCTATTTAACCATTTTAGTCACTGGTCTGTTTTTCTCTGGTCGGGCACTTTTTTGCCGAAACAGAACAGTGCAAACGTCCAGCACCACCTTTCCCCTCGTTCTAAATGATTCTGTGTGTTGTATCTCAACCGAGGATTCGCCACAATCTCTTGCCCGGTTAATGGGGAATCTAGGATTCCCAGTATTGACCTTATCAATCCTCAACGTCCAATCTGCGCTGTTAAGAGAAGAAAGCGCCGGCTTGTGAAGCTAACGGATGCAGGGGAGCTGTCTGAGGGAGAGAGAAAGCACTATACAGGCTAATGCTACGTTCCCATCGATTGCTCTATATCAAGATTCGCTAACAGCATCTGTAAGGCAGGAGAGCCCATATTGAACAAGAGACCAAACTCCCTCCCCTCCTACTCCACAATAACAGGACATTTGCAAAACACACACAAAAAAAAACGCAGGCACATTCACATCAGCCAATGGAACGATGTGTAAAGGGTACTCACTCGCTTTGCCTTGTTTCGGCCTTTGCAACAGCTTCTGCACTGCAGCTACATCTTCGGTTTTGACAGCTTGCAGTAATTCCTGATCTTTCCCCATGGCTTGTTGATGTGTGTGTGTATGCGTGTGTGTATGTGTGTATATGTGCGTGTTTTTATATCCGATGCATCTTACGTTTTAGGAGCTGGAGCGAGAGAGAGACACACACACACACACACACGCAGAAGGAGGAAGACTATGCCTGGCAGTGTGTGTGCATGGAGGCAGGGACAGGAGGAGAGCTACCGATGGGTGAAAGGCATAGACAGCCAGCACCTCGTCTCTTGTATCACAAACCAAAACAGCTCTCTCTCCCCTTCCCCACCCCCCCCCCTCCCCCCTCCCCCGGATTATTGCAAAAAAAAGGACAACACAAAAGCCTCCTTGCTGTCCTCCCCCGACAGACTGGTGGCTGCACTAAGTACACAGCGGCGATGCCATGGTTCTTCAGTCCGTCCTCAGTCCCATCGCGTTTCGCAGCCGCTACCTCACTCTCTCTCTCTCCACAAGAGCTGAGATCTGCTTTCAATGCTCCTACCCTGCCGCATGGCGGAGGAAGATTGTACAGGATCCAAATCATCACATCCCTCTCATACCAAATAGGACAGATCCTGGGACAAGGCAGGTTTATTTCTGGAAGCGCTCTTAAAGGAAACCCCTACCAAAGAGTGCGTGTGGGGGGGGGGGGGGGGGGGGGGGGGGGAAAGGGGTGGAACTAATCCCTTTAAAAGTCTCTGGTTTGTAACCATTTCCGAAATAACATCGCTTTACTTTCCAACATCTCGCTAATCCTTCCCACCGTTGCAATATCTGTATTTATTGGTCGATAGACAAGAATTGAACAGGTGAAATTGCACATTTAAACATCATACTCGTCACAATATTAACTGATGGAAATGGATGTTGTAACATCAACTTGGCCGGGGCTATTCCAAGCTTTCTATCATCCAGGATTAAGAACTGCAGGGTGATGCAGCGTTGGTACCTGGCCCCTTTTCAATGGGGTTGCCAATCTGCTGTCTCAGGAACCAGCGTAACATTTGGCGATTGCAATTTTACGCTGCAAATAGCGCCAATTTGAAATAATACCGGCCTGGCGTCTCCGGAAGTGTATTAAACTTGGACAAGAAGCAAATGTGGCTTCCATCAATCATTCCACCCGCCACCACAGCCCTCTCCCACTTCATTCCACCCCTTCAATTATACTTAACACACAAATACAGCTCAATTCCGATTAGCACATGTCTCGTTATTTTTTCACTCCCTTCCCCGCCATGTTAACCAGTTATCATTGAGCACTCTGACTGGTTCCTTATCCGGTCAATCCATAATTGTACATCCCATCTGTGGTCTGGGATCAAGCTAGTTATTTGGGAATTATCTCCACACCTGTCTGAAAGGCAGTGTCTTGTTCTGCCTGGGTTATTTTTAATCTGGAAGCAATGCTAATGATGCTCTTTGACTTGGGGTCATGCTTGTCATCAAGATTTGTATGTGCACTCTGCACAGGGTGGCAATTAACTTGGAAATGTTTTCAGCCAGTGACTGATCAGCTCAAAGTGTCTGTACCCCTGTCATGTGTGTAAATTATCACTGACATGTAAATCTCTGATGGTTCTAATTTGGGAGACTACCCTATCAATGGGTTATTTTCTGTGTCTTAAGATCCAATAACCTCAGCATCCACTTGCCCACATCATTTGGATGCTTGAGATAGTCGCAGGTAACAGAGAAGGTTGAAAAGGGCAAAGCTGCTGTTGTGCTGTACATGGACTACCCAAATGCATTCCGTACAATTTTTGAAGAAAATCTTAGAATGAAAGGGACAGCAGCAAAATGGAGCCAAAATTGTCTGAGGGGTAAGAAAGAGAGTTTAATGGGTGTTTTTCAGATTGAGAGGATGTTTGTTGTTGAGTTCCCCTGAAGCTGGTATTGAGACCCTTGCTTTCCTGATACATACATAAATGATTTAGGCTTGGGTGTGCAGGGGACAACGTTATACTGTACAGGTGCCACAAAACTCCAATGTACTGTGAACTGTTATGAGACATAGAGTCACAGAAATGTATAGCACAGTCTTTGATCCATTTCACGGTCGCCATTAGACTTTCATTTCTGGGTGTTTTTTTTTAAATTGAAATTGGATTCAAACATCTGTCATGATGAAATTTGATTCTGATTACCTGAATCTCTGGATTACCAGTCCAGTGATGTTGTCACAACACCTCCATTTATGAGAATGATTTCTCAGGGATGAGAAACTCAGTTATGAGGATTTTTTGGAGATACTGGGACTGCTTTCCTTGGAAATTTGATAGAAACTTTCCAAAACCATGAGTGCTCTGGAGAAAGTAGATAGGAATAAAATGTCCCCACTCCTAAAATGAATCTAGAACCAGAGGGCACAGTTTGAAAGAGGCTTACAAAAGAAGCAAATGTGCAGTGAGAAAAATACTTTATTCAGCTGGTAAGTGATCTGGGCCTGGAATCCACTGCCTGGAAATGTGGTGGTGGCAGGTTCAGCTGAGGCATTCAAGAGGGATGGTTATTTAAACAGAAAAAAAACATGCAGGGTTTTTGGAAAAAGGTAGGAGATTGGCCTTAAATTAGAATGCTCAGAGAGCTGAGGCAGGTATGATGGGCTGAATATCCTCCTTCTGCATTGTAGCAATTCTGCGTTTCTGCCAGGTTCACTCTTCTGTTGTGGGCAGTGATGGATGGCATTTTTGCAGGCAATCACATAGGTGCTGGATCTTGTACATGATGGGTAGAATTTAACACCCCTCTCTTTATGCAGGGTTTGAGCTGGAGAGTGTAAGTGAGGACCTGAGTGCCTTTCAAGTTTTACCCTGATGCAGTCTGGATTGGGAAGGCTGGTAAATGGTCTTTACTTCCCTGAGTAGGCAATTAATGACTTAGGCTGAACAAATATCACACAGAAAGTTTGAGAAGTAAAATGCTTAATTATAGAATCCCTATAGTGTGAAAACAGACCCTTTGACCCAACATCGACCTTTGGAGCATTCCACCCAGACCCATCCCCCTATAACCCACTTAATCTACACATCCCTGAACACTAGGGGCAATTTAGCATGGCCAAGCCACCTAATCTGCACATCTTTGGACTGTGGGAGGAAACCAGAGCATCCAGAGGAAACCCACGCAGACACGGGGAGAATATGCAACCTCTACACAGACAGTCACCTGAGGGTGGAATTGAACCCAGGTCCCTGGCGCTGTGAGGTAGCAGGGCTAACCATTGAGCCACTGTGCCATATTAATAGCAATAGCAAACAGATAGCACCCAACTACCTTTTCTTACAACCTCCTGATTGCCTGGCCAGAAAACCTCTCCCACGACCCCAATTCATTCATGACTCACTAGTAGCATTGGATTTATTGCATTACCAGCATCAGCCACCCATCCCGGTGACACCACCTGCAATGGCGAGACGCTAGTCTCTGTTTGGCCAGCGTCCCTCAGTGAGTGGGGTTTTAGCCACAGCCTGCCCCCGAATGGTTAAGTGCTCGGTTGGCACTTCATTCACTGGACCTTCCCTGATGAGGTAACATGGGGTTCACGTCAGTTCTCCAAGTACCAGGTATAACCCCTGTCATCTGGTTCACATTCTGAAGTATGCATAATGCTGCTTGGATGCTAATGGTACATGCTTTGACCTCAGTATTCCAGCTACAATCCTCTCTTAATCCAGTGCAGTGAGGATAGAGATATCACCAACCACTTACAGGTTAGATGCAGGTGAAGTTCCACTGACTCTTGTAAAAGTGTTTGGTGGTTTTCAGAGCTGTTTAAAGCTGCTGAAATCTCTCAGGAATGGGGAAGCATGTGCTGAAGAACTTTTCCCTGACTGTGAGTATACTGCACAAGTCAACTACAAGGCTACAGTAGTGGCTATCTCCTCAGATAAGCATGACTGAGAGAATGGACAGAAATCTCACAGAGCAGGACAAGTGACTGGAATAGTGTGAATGAAGAAGGAGACAACGATTCTCAGTGGGATACCTGATTCCCCCAGAGTCTGAATGGAGCCATTTTTCCCATCATGAGGAACTATGCGTGAGCTTTCATTTTAGTACAGACATCCTCACTGGAATTGATCACTTCTGAAACCACAACTACAGCCTCCGAGCAGGGTCACAATGTCATGGCCAGAGGCTGGGAAGATTCCAGGCTGGCCCAAAGATTACTTGCAAAATTTTCCAGCTTGTCATTCCCCTGTTCCCATAAGGACCTGCAATGGGAATCAAAATTACATGAAAATCAAGTACATTTCAGTTTCCCTTGTCAGAGAGCAGCAGGATACTGAACAGAAGACTTTGTAATAATTCTTCAATATTCCACTGTGCCATCCTCATTTGAACAACTTAAAGTAATGAGGAAAATTTTTCAAGTAATCTTTGGGCCAGCCTCATTTGAACAACTTAAAGTAATGAGAAGGTGACAAGAGCCATTGTTTGATGACATAGTCCATGTGGGAGTGTGTATCGTACACACAGAGGGGCTGCGTAAAGTAAAATCAGTTCCATGCTACCACAGGAAATGTAATGGTGCAGACCATTGGAGTAGTTCAATGTTGTTTCTGCTGCCTGGAGAACTCTGGGGCAGCCCTGCAGTACAGAGAAGGGCAGGTATCATCATGATTCTTGATGGTCTCCAACCTTGCCATCGTGAGGGTGCTGTTGTCACTGCTAGTGATAGGGCACCAGCTGAGGAAGAGGAGGAGATGGAAGAAGTGAGGAGGTAACCAACACAGCATTTTTGTTGCCAGGCTTTCTGTGATCCACTCGTCCAACTGTAATACAAGTAAATGTAAGTTCGAATTCCGCTAACAAGGCTGAACCTTCCCTCTCCTTGGCTGCTGACTACCACTGCACCACTTGTCTACAAACAACAGTAAAAGCCAACATAATATCGATATTTCAAAACAATACCGTTGAACAATCTATGCCATATTGCATGCAAATATCAACTGCCCTCGTGTTTTTCCTTCATACCTGTATTACAGGTGCCTTTTTCTGGTTTAATGCTCCCACACAGTGCGACCCCTGTGACTGTGGCACTACTGGTGAAAGCTGATGATTTTTATTGTGTTTATCCTGAGTAGCTCTAGCTCCAGAAGGGCCCACCCAGGACTGTACCACAACAGCATGGTGTGGCAGCAATCAGGGCTGGCAGGCTGACCAGCAATGTTAGCAAGGGCACTAACAAGGCAAAGGATTGGCAATAAGGGAAGGACAAATGCAGACAGATGGTTCATGA